CACATTTTCCCTACCGACTGCTATATTTGTGCAGCTATTAATATTTGCATGTGTGTGTGTGTTGTAGAGACTGTGGAACTACCTACTATGTGCTGGTAGCTTATAGTATGTTTATGCTGTTAGGCTGCCTCAACTTGTCCGTCTAGCGATATGTAAATATTTAGACGAAAAATGTGAAAACAAAAGTCAACAGAAATATGTGTGCAATACAAAAACAAAGAGAAGTAGGAAAATAGTTTATAGTAGCCACATATTTGGCAGCCACTACCATTTAGGCCACATTTCATTCTAAATACACACACACACACACATTGACGAAGATGTTTCGCCAACGCTAGTGGCGCTCGTGGCCCGCTTTGGGCGCCCAGACAGCCAGGCAGCCGGTCGGTGGTGAGGCCAGTTTGTGAGAGATAGTTGGAAGTTCTCAAAAACCGTATTGAGTTGGTTTTTCAGTTGTCAGTTCGCGGTGCTTTCTAATGTGCCAACGGACTGACATACAACGAATATATATATATACATATGTATATACGTATATACATGTGTATACAAATATGTTTATAGAAAAGTTGCCTGTCGGTCATATGTAGAAGAACGGTGCAAACGATTGACGTCGGACCGCATCAGTCTAATGTGTGTCTCGCGCGTTGTTGGAAATGTGCGCGCCGGAATAAAGTGTTTTTCAAAATTCGCAGAAAACAGTTTAAATACGAGTGCACATATTTGTATACAAATATATAATATAATTAAACTATGTGTTTTAAAATATATTTATAAATATTGTGCAATTAATTGAAATATATTATATACATATAAATATATGTGTGTGTTGAGTATTTGGCAACTTTTAGTTTGCAAAAAATAGGTTCAATGAATATATAAAGCAATTTTGGGTAAAATACATAATAAAATATTTTTTTTTTTTGTCGGGAAAATATAAATATATATAATTTTTTAACCAAAGCCTTGAAGATAATAATAAATACGCCATAAATTTACGCAAATATCTGCCTGTATGTAAAATTAAATATTAACGAGGTGCTAAGAATCGGCTAAGTCAAGTTGTGTCTGTTGAATAGATCAAATTTATATTTTTTTTTATAGAAAACAGGCTCTTAATTCCTCACATATTTTATTCAAGAAAAGTAATCTCTTTTTTTAATGTCATTCAGAAATCCTCTTTCCTTTCGACTGCTTCGCTGATAACTTGACAAACTCCAGAGGAAAAGATTACCGAAAACTTAAACCACTGCGCCTGGGAAGTTAATCCTAGTGGCATCTGCTGCGCGCACATACTTCTGAGAGGTATGTGGCTGGGCCCGCGTCGTTGGTGCATATGCGCAGTGAGCTTTTTCACGGATGAATCGAAGCACTAGGAGGAGGTTGTAGGTGGAGTTTTCTGTCGTTAGCTCTCAATTAACTTTACATTTACAGATTGCCAGGCCACTGTCACAGAAGTGACAGTAATTGAAGGTAGCAGCAGATTAATTCTTCAAATTACGGTTTCATTTAGCGCGCTGTCCAGGCCTTTTGTTGACATGCCTACGTCTTTTTGAGCCATACATTGAAGTTCTCAACGATTCATCTTAACGGACAAGCGTTTATGCCTTCACGAGAACCTAATTTAGCCTAACCTGACTTAACTTAACCTAACCCAGTCCAAGATTTTAGCGATTTTCTCTATGAAGAATTCGACCTAGTCTTTTTGCTGAAAAAAAGATGAAATAGCACGAAAAAGGTAACTTAACTCTGCTATCAGAAGAATGATAACGTACTCTCCTCGTGTGTTCTGCTATTAGATAACTGGGCTTCGCTGAAACTTGGCTTTCGTTCTTGTGCAGTTGCGAGATCCTTTTTGCTCAATATCGATTGCAAGAGATCCGCTAAGCTCGCTGCCCTCAATAAGACTAGCTTCTCCCTAGTTGTGGGGCTTCTAACATGCTATTGTTCTATCGGCATCTATGCTATAAGATGCACGTACAGAAACAGTTTGGAAGAGGACGAGTTGGAAATATCTCAATCTTTTCTTTTTTAATGTCACGCATTTACAAGATCAAGCCTTAAACACTTGAGAGCTCAGATATTCCACTGAACTGGTGGGCATAGAAGTGCATGAGCAAATTTGAATTGGCCACAAAGCGCTTTGTCCGTTTATGAGGTCGGATACAGAATTGTAAGTAGTAGTACAAGTGCGACCTCTGGACTAACCATTTAACCTAACCGAACCTACTGAAAAGAGCAGTGGATACCTCCAGAATAGTTTGATATTGGTGCTTGATTGTTAGCTATGTGGTTGTTGTTGTAGCGACAGTAAATATTTTCTAAATAATTTTAATGATTGCTGTCATGTTGACAGTTCTTGGTCGCATACAATCCGGTTACATAAACCGATCTATTGGGGGAGCAACTCTTTCGTTGATTCTTATTCATGGCAAATGTTTTTCAACTGACTTTTTTTATTGATTCTGAGTTAATTCTACAGAAATGATGATTTCATTGAAATTACTCATTCGTTCTTATATGGAAGCCTCTACAAAGAACCTTAATGCTTTTGGTAATCGGTCAAATCTTGAAGGTTGGCGAATCGAACAAATAACTGGTATAACTACAATAAACTGCTATTAAAATAATTGCTATAACTAAAATAAACTGGTTTAATTAAATACAAAATGAGAAGTGCGAGCTTATGCGATGTTAAGTCAAATCTAGTAAAGCTAGGTTAGCGAATCGAACAAACAATTGGTATAACTACAATGAACTGGTATAATCAAATAGAATGAGGAAGGGAAATGCAAGTTTATACTATGTTGATGAACCTTAGCGATACTTATGGCATAAAACTGTGTTGTTATTATATTTTCGCAAGTAATTTTCTTGAAAGAGAGCGCAGTTTAAACTAAGCGCGTGGAGTATTGATGAATGCTATGACTCTTATATATTATGCCAAGAGTTTCAGAAACTCTTGTTTGACTCTCTATATGTACAGTCTTATCACACATTTTGCCGGCGTGTGAGTGCTCAACAGTTACTTTGACTATACACATACAAACAGACAAATTAGATAAGACATGTTGCTTGTCGGCTTGTCAAGTGCAGCGCGAATCGAATGTAAACAAGCGGGGTGCGCAAAGTACACATTATACGCCGAGTCTGCTAGCCGGCCGGCAACGAGTGTCCAACTGTTGAAGCCAGTATGAAGTTAGTCCGTTTATATGTAAAAAATAGCAACAAAAAATACACATGTACTTAACAAAGCGGGCTGAAGATAATGAATGACTGACGACGCCACACATGTCGAGGGGTTAACTTTGAAATATGTACGAATGTCAAAAGAGTACAACAACAAAATATTGAATACGATAAATACCATTTATGAACAGTATGTGAACTCCACTTGCTCAAGAATTTTGCATATTTTAAATGGCATGCAGGAGCGTAGTAAAAACTAACTTCTAGCTGTTTATGGACAAATATGGGTTTTGTGGCAACGCCAACACTTGCACGTTGAACACTGAACTCTAGGCGTTAAATGCAACTGCTATTAGCGCTAATGCGGGCGTGCAAGATCTTCAGCAAATACAACAACAACATGGCCATTTCATAGACAAGTGTCATTACCGCTCCTGCTCTTCTGTCTGTACCCACTCCTTGCATGTGCCTACAGTTGAGAAGCAATTGTTTCTACACTGACTTCAGTCAGCGTGTAGCGAAGCTCAGTTGTTGTTGAGTGTGTCAGCGCATAAGACGTGTGTAAATATAGAAATATGAATTGAAAATTATTAAAAAAAAACAAGTATTCAAAACATAAAAAATAAAAAATAAAAAAAATTATAACAAAATATAAAACAAATTTAAAAAGTATAAAGAAAAAAACTATGAAAAAAATATTTTAAATAATTATTCAAAAAAATATTTAAAAAAAATATTAGAAAACAATTGTTTAAGACAAAAAAAAAAATTATTAAAAAAAATTAATAAAAAAATATTTATTAGTAGCAATGTGTAGAAACCAAATAAATTTGCGTCGTAACGAGGTAGTTTGGTGATTCATAAATTATAAATGAAATTTTGATAAAAAATAGTCAACATATATATATAACAAAACATAAAATCTGCAGCGCAAAATAAAATATTGAACAAATGCATTTGAAAAAACCAATGGCGGATGTGTTGCTCATTGATGATCTTCTCGGCGATTTGCGTGTACTAAAAAGCAGCTGTGTTAGTATTAGCGCTAATTGAAAATATAAAAAAACATATACACAAAAAGAAAATACCAAAAAAATGTAGAACATATATTACGTATAATATTTTTGTGTATGACATTTGCCCTGTGCGGCGCGTCAAACCGACATTAATTGCATGGCTTGCAAGGCTTACTTGTGTATATATCGTAAACTTAAATGCAAAATAACAAAATTTTTCATATCTAAAATTTTATGTTAAAAACCGCATATTGAAACATAATCTGAGTTTTGGTTATAAAGTGGTTATAAAATGGTTATATATGGGTTATAAAATAGTTATATATTGGTTATAAAATGGTTATGTATTGGTTATAAAATGGTTATGTATTTGTTATTACATCAAATAGCGATTTTTTTGATGATATGTTGTTTTGCATTTTAGGTGACGATATACCACATTTTGAAATTGTTAATGAAAAAAAATGAAAATATATTTATTTGTTTATTTACTTTGTCTTTGTACTGCTCACCGCTTATCAGACGGCTACTCATACATATATATTATATTATATTATATCTGACAGCGATTTTCTATGTTTTTTTTTTTTTTTTGACAATGTATTGTTTTGCTTTTTAGTTGACGATATACAATATTTACAAATAGAATTATTAAAAAATTAGAATATTATATTCATTTCTTTATTGCCGCTCGCCGCTCGCAGCTTATCAGCCGGCTGTTAATGTCTTTTTTACTATAAACTTTTACTTGTTGTTACACGTACTCACATTTTGCTTTTCCACTCTTTCTCTTTACAGTTGGAACTGCTACAACGTCAAGTCACCGACTTGGCTGACACACAGAATATCGCTGAGGATCGCACGACGCGCACAAAGACCGAATATGCTGTGCTGCAGACACGCTATCATATGCTCGAGGAGCAATATCGGGAGGTGAGTGGAGTTATATAATATTTTCTCGAGGAAATGTGGGGAAAAAGAGTGCTCTTAGTAGTAACTGATTGTTAAACTAACGTTTTAACTTGAAGAGAGGTATATTATACCTCTGAATGAACATCTTTGATTCGCGACTCCACTGTTTTAGTCTTGCAAAAGCTGATCAATAGAGGAAATAGTGCCTGGATATTTCCACCTAATCCTCCTCAATAAAACTTTACAACTACTGTCTCATAACATTTTTAGCGTTACCACATATATGTCTATAGGAAAAAATCCGGTAAGAACCTCTACTTACAGCGCCTACTAAGCGGTCCATTGGTCTAGTGCTAGAATGTAAGACGCCAAAGACGATTCAACTGTTGTGTAGTGTGGTGTTGTTACATTGCTCTCAGAGTTTATGCTCACATCCCCGAAAAAAGCTGCACCGTAGTAGGACTTCTGCCTAAAACTCACTACGATGATTCAGGAGCCTAAAGCTAAAACTCTCTCCCAGCGCCGAGCCATCCATAAAAAAAGCTTTTTGCGCCTCTTGTTCACCGACACCGTATATTATTCGTCGGTATGTGAGCGGAGAAAAAGCCGCCGCGAAGGAGGAGAGAATACGGCGTTGATATTTTTATGACCTAGTAATCTGAAATTCACAGTTTTCTTATCTTATTAAAGAACCCATAGCCTACATCAATATTTTTCGAATATTAGCGAGGACTCTCTCATGGAATTTAAATTCTTCGATAGTCTCCTTTTGGGAATAATTTCTAACTGATCTTGTTATTATTGACCAAAAGTTTAGTTTACTTCTTTCGGACCACAAGTTCGCCATTCTTGCTTTAAAAATTTTTAGTGGACGGGTCACCTGAAAGATCAACTGTTCTATTTCTTCATCTTTTCAATATCAAATTGTAAAACTCTCTTTCTTTTTCTCTCCGCTCAGTCCGAATTGCGCGCCGAAGAGCGTCTGGCCGAAGAACAAAAACGTTACCGTGAACTACTGGCACGCGTCGAACGCGAAGCGGCGCTCCAAAATGAAAATTGCCAAATCAAGATCAAAACTATAGAATTGGAAGCGAACACATTACGCGAAGAGGCACAACGCCTGCGCGTGCTCTGCGATAAACAAGCTAATGACTTGCATCGCACCGAAGAGAAATATGAATTGGCGCGCGATCAAATTGCTGCACTGCAACAGGATCTCGATGAGACGGTGCAGCGCGAACGCAAATACGAAGACGATAAGAAGGCGTCCGAGGAGCTAATGTTGGAGTTGAGCAAAGAATTGGAACGACTGCGCGCCGAAACGGGGCCAGCGCTGCCAACCACCTCGCCGGAGACAATAAGACTGGAAGAGCTGCATCAGGAACTGGAGGAGATGCGGCAAAAGAACAAAGGTATGCTGTCATATAATTGACTGTAGAGCTGTTTTTGTAAATAATATAAATATTTTTTAGCTTTGGAGGAGCAAAATGAAGAGCTGCAGGCGCAAGTGCTCACGCGCGGCGTGGAAGAGGGCCGCAATCTGCTGAACGGCACATTGAATAGCTTAGCGCAAGAGCTGGAGGAAATGTCACAAGCACAGGTGGGTGGCGCAAGTGATTTTTTTTATTAGCACTTAGCAAATATTTATATTATGCACTGCTTTGGGACACGCTACGAGCTTTTACAGCCAAGAAGCTTTCGCTCTAACACCGTCGCTCATGCTTACGCGCACACAACATACAACAAACACACTCATGAAAGCTTAACGCACACATAAACACTTGCACACACACTGCGGCATTGCTTTGGTATCAGGTTTGCAGAGCTTTTAGCAATAAGCTTGCAGCATAACAAAAAAATTGAATTAAAACAAGCGATCATAAAATGAACAGTTATAATTTTATTATTATATAAATTTTATTATCTTTTGTGCTGAGCTTAAAAGCTTTGCCTTATTATTTATTATATATTTTTTTTTAATTTTCAGTCTAGGTTGTTTTTTTTTAAGTTTTGTCTTGTCGCTCGTTTTTATATATTTTCTGCTTTGTTTCGTAACCTCACCTCGTACACATACTCGTATAAATCTCGTTATAATGCTCACTTTATCTATGCATATGTATATGTTGTTTATTATTTTGTATTCTCCTTTCTTTTATTTATTTTTATTACAGGATTCTGTGGATTCAGCCACATTAGCATCTCTAAGTCAGGTAATAAACAACAGAAATCAAAAGTGTTTAACCAAAAAGATGCAAAAACAAGTAATTTGTGTAGGAATGATTTAATATTGGTGTGGTATTGGTGATTGGTGAAAGCTTCTGAGGAAACTAACTCACTTAATAATAATAATCATAATATTTTGCTAATAACTGACAGTTAACCAGAGAAAGTTTATAGTATAATTTGTTATGAACAGATTGAATTTTATGCCATGCTGTGAAAGCTCGTTGAAAGTTGCATAAGAGAAAAGCTTCATATTATTCTTCGAATAACTGACAGTTAATAAGAAAGAGTAGATGGTGCACTTCGTAATAAAGATGTGAAATTGTATTCGACATGCTGTGAAAGCTCGCTGAAAGCTTCATAAGAGAAAATCTTCATATAAATCTTCGAATAACTGACATTTAACGAGAGGGAGTTGATTGTATACTGTGTTATAAAAAAGGAATTATGCGACATGCTGTGAAAGCTCGTTGAAAGCTTCGTAAGATTAACGTTGCTATAAAAATATCAAAAATATTAAAGCAGAGCGAGTACGGAAGAATAATCACTATCACAAATAATCACTAATCACATATAAAAAATAAATCCTAAAAATGTTCAAAATTTAGGAAAGTTTAGACGAACGAAAGCTTTTGAAAAGCTTAAGAGAGTTTTAGACGAGCAACAGCTTGCGAGAAAAACTTAAAAATATTTCATTAAAGTAAACATCATGCCTACATCATATAGCTGAAAATATAAAACAGTAGTCTTAATGAATGAATCTTTGGAGCTTCTTTTTTAGCAAATCATCTGTAATCCAGCAAAAAGCATTAAAGGCAATTTATTTCGAAATCAGATGCTTCACCTAGGTCACCAGAAGATTAAGAGCCAAAATACTGCAAACTTAAAAAAACAGAGAAACCAAAAATTAACTACCTTCATCGTAACATTTTCTCGGGAGCTATCTTAACAAGCTAAACTACTGAAGTATAGATTCGAAAAAAACACAGTTGGTCGCTGAAAACAATTTTTTTTTTTTATGAGAAGGTGTCATTGTAGTGCGAGTTCCGAAGCGCTGAGATAAAGCAACAATTTTTCTATAGAGCTTTTGTGGAGAGCCACAGAAAGCCTGATATTGCTATTCAAGAATACATAAAGAAATCAAGCTTTCAAGATGACTGTAATAAAGTAGAATGAAATAAAGTTAAAAATCGTCATAAAGATCTTGGAAAATTGTGTAATTAGTATATGCTACTTCGATGTCAACCAGTGAAATTAGCCGTTATCTATTAGATTTTCTTTCTCATGAAGAGATCGAAATCGAAATAATTTTATTTACCTTTACTTTTATTAATGGATAAGTATGGAAAATATGTATGGATCTAAAAGAGAAAAATAAATATAAAATATGNATGAAAAATTAGAATACATAAGGAAATTTTAATCAACAAAAAAAAAAATTAAGATAAATCAAAAAGCAAATACATAAAAGTATTTTCAACAATTAATGGAGGAAGAAGAAATAAAAGGAATTTCCTGCAATGAAATCAAAAATATTATAAAATAAAGATATTTCAATTAAAAAAGCAGATAAATTAAGACAAAATAATAAATATGAAAAGTATTGATAAAAATAAAAGAATGTAAAACTTACGGTAATAAAAAAAAATATTATTTAATTACTATTATTAATATTTTTACTTATTCTAAGTTCTATAAACATTAATTTGTCATTAATTCATTATGGGTATTCACAATATAAATATTATTATCAACACATACATATTACATACATCATACTTTGGTCACATGTGGTCATAAGTACATGGAACTTGTGGTTTTGGACATACAGTGAACTAATTTTCTATTTAAAAATTTTTTCCTTAAATCTTTATTCAAATAAATATGAATTTTCTGTAGAATATTTACCACTTTGTTACCGTTTGATATCCCTTGAAATGTGGAGAACAGTCTGTGAATTCAAGAAAATGATCAGAAATTTCATAGCACTGCTGCTGTAACATAATTTACGTAGACATTCGAAATTTTTTTTTTCGACTTTTATAGGTTATGTGAGGTTTCTCGGCCTATTTCCAATTTTTTTTTCTTTTTTTTTTTCAAATATGCAATGAAATATTTTCTTCCAACTTTTTATTATTCCAAAGATTTATATAGAAAAATTTTCTGTAAATTTCAAATAAAGTATTCAAAAATCTCCTCAGATCCTGAGAAAACTGACTCCGCGTTGACAGCAAAAAAAAGCACAAAAGTGTAAAAATTGTATTTTTCGCAGACGGTCTTCCGAAAAATCTGCAAATTTTGGTGAGCATTGTTCAACGTTTTTATAAATAATTTTAATTTTTTCCCTCACACCCCACAAAAGAATAAAAATTGTATTTCTTAAAGACGGTCTTCCGAAAAATCTGCAAATTTTGGTGAGCATTGTTCAACGTTTTTATAAATAATTTTAATTTTTTCCCTCTTCATTCACGACCTTCCATATTACATCACGAAGACCTCTGGAAAATGTATAGGTTGAGTGGTCCGCTAGAAATACTGACAACCGATTTTAGTTTTTTCCCCTTCGCTTAAGGCCTTGCAAATTATATCTCGTATTACTTGTAGTGGATTTTAAGGTTGATTTCTGACGACGGATCTATTATTAGCTGGCCCCTTTTTGTGTCATGTAATGTTTACAATATTAAATAATAATTTAAACCAGTACTTCATGTCCTTGCCAACTTTAAAGTGATCTTACATTTTTTCAATCTTCTTTGGTCACATTATCTCGAAGGTATTTGGTCTAAAAAACTCCTCGAATCTTAAATATAATGTATGTAACTATATACTTTCCCTTCAAAAACATCTCTACCCCTATCGGCCTAGGATTTCTCCACTAATAACAGAAAAATAGATATATATAGAATTAACAATTTATATCCTAAAATAGACATAATTTATTAAATTCAAATTTCATTTTCTCATTTACAGTTGCAACAAGCCTTTCAAGAGAAGGAAGACGAGAATACCCGCCTGAAGCATTATATCGATACGATATTATTGAACATCGTAGAGAATTATCCGCAGCTATTGGAAGTCAAGCCCATTGCGAAATAAAGTGCTCTGAAGAGGCAGCGCAAGGGAAATACGTCGAAAACGAAAGACAAGATAAAACTATTAATAATAAGAGTAACCAGCTTGGAAGCAAGAGTACAGTAAAAGTAATATGTGGAATTTATTTTTATCAACAAATAAAATCAAATCAACACGGTCAACGCCAGTTATGAATTTAAACTTAATTTATAAACACTTCTTCCTATGTATTTTTATATGTAGAAGTACTTTTTATCGGACCAGTTAGCCGCCAGTTACCGCGTTGTGTAAAAATATCTTTTGTTTCTTATTCAAAATTCTTTGCAGTCAACGCTTGCGTGCTATTGGCTAAACAATAAATTACAGTAAATTGCTTTTGACTTTAAAATTATGTAATTTGCGCTTCGTTTGAAGTGAGGTCACTGCAAGTTAGTTCTATGCTTCCTAAAGCTGCGCGCGAAACTTTTTTTTTTTTTTTTT